GTACATGTAGTCAGCAGTGGTGAGTACAATGTTGTACGGTGCAACAACTAAAGGGTTAAACTCATTCTTAGTTTTTGAATGTGCAGGATATACATGAAATTTACACTCAGTACTTCATAAGCTGCAATATCTGTATTTTTCATGACAGCCACCATCAGAATTTCACAATTGCAGGGTTTGTGGTTGGACCCCCAGCCCCTCCAAGTGTCCTCGGGCAAGACATTGAAGCCCAAGTTGCTTCCAGTGGCCACCACAACATGAGCGCAAGTGTGTGAATGAGAAACACAAAACAATTTGTACAATCCAGCAAAGGTTAAAAAGGCCCCCGTTTGACCTTGTTTCCTTTTCTCACTGAACAATATCAAACAATCTGACCTCTTTTAAATCCTTTTAAAGAAATTCATGAACTCTCCACAAACTTTTCCAAAGCTTACAGTCTTACAACAACCTCCGGGGCAGTAAACAACTTTGATCTAAAGAGCTTCCCGTCGCTAAAACCTTCAATATCCTGCCTTAAGATATCTGACTTACAATCTGGGGACAAGTTGAGTAATGATTAATGACTCTTGTGTTCTTGTGTCAGGCTGCTTGGGAATCAACTTTTGCAAAACATTGGAATATATAAGAATTTTATGATATCCTTTTGGAGTAATAATAATTTTTAAAAATCCAGATAGAATACATCTCCTGCAAACACTCTGTTGGTTGGAATGAGGGAAGATGTGACTCAAGAGACGTCAGTGAACTGAGTTCATACAAAACCCCCGCTGCTTTAGTCAAATTATAGGGCCCCGGTTCATGACAAGAGGCTGCTTCGTGCTCAGGTTGCCAGGCGCTGAGGCTTGTAAAGGAGAAACATGCGTGTTTTTAAACTCTTCTTCTTGCTGTCAGAGCTATAGGTGTCTCCGACTGTGTGTGCAAAGGAAGTGAGGGAAGGCATTTATAGAGAAGCAGGTGGATTTCCTTTAAATTGGCACTCCTGAGCGCCTCTTATCTAAGCGTTACACAGGCAGCACACATGCCTACCGAATGATACTCAAATGCTCCGACCCACCAAGTCATCCGTTATACTGCAGGTGCTGTCATGCTCCAGAAATAGGAGCTCCACGGTGACTTTCATTTAGAGGAGGGGGAAACCTGTCACCTCAGAAGATGCTCAGGCTACAGGGGGAATGGTTAAGTCTGCCTAATTCCAAGACTTATTTCTCTTTAACCCACTGTAGGGGGTTTGCTCATTCAAAGTCATCGGCCTCGTCCCCTATTATGCCTGCACTGCAGCAGGAGCTCATCATTCTGTGTGCGACTAACTGAGGCAGAGGCTTTCTTATCTCCACAATGCCTTTTTCTTGGAAAATGATCTTTATCAGGGAGCTTTCATTGGGTTCGCTCTATGAAACTCTTAGAACTCATTGTATGCACTTCTTACAGTTGGGATTCAGTCTTTTTTTTTTTTTTGGAGGGGGGGAAGGGTTATGGAGATGAATAGTTTGGGATCCCTTAAAAAGAGTCAACATAAAAAAAAAAAAAACTTGGAGATGAAGTTGGAACTATTTAATCAAAAGGGGGTTTGTCTGGGAGCTGCCACACTCAGAAAAGTATGAAATCAATCATAGGAAGGATTCAGATGGCTTTTTTTGGCAGCCAAACTACAGGCGTCACCATAAGGCTCATTATGAGTTTCTAAGAACCGCCGAAAGACATAAAATAATAACACCCAATAATTAAATAGAAGCTTTGAGCACCTTTACATTTCAGATGCTTTCACCGTCCCCAAGACTCAACAAAATCTTAACTGAGTTAAACAGAACGTTGGGAATGCAGATACATCTCACAATGGGACGAGCGGCTCGCAGCCAGTTCGTGATGAATTAAAAATGACAAATGTATATTGTTTCGCTGCCAGGCTTACCTGTTCTGCAAGAATTTGAGCACAGAGGAGCGTTTCTTGGCGTCGGACACTTGGTAATTGCGGCGGTCTCATGCCGTCTCTCTCTCGGAGATCGCAGTCTGCTGGAGGCTCTCGCTCAGGAAAAAAAAAAAAAGAATTTGCAATAATTTCATCCCAGTGCATTAGGCTTTCAGTGGTGACAGTAGCAGCTTTGTGTTGAGGATCAAATAAGGAAGGAAATTCTGTAATATCTTGGTTTGATTCGCTCAACCTTAAACCACCTAAATTTGGAATCTCTAATATCAGCCGCTCTGAGAAGACAATGAACAACAAAGAGACAGACGACAAAATCCATATCTTCACTGACAGCTCCAATATTTGTACATCGGCAATATAATAGAGGCCAGCTCGCTCTCTTCCCGCTGCAGGTGTAATCTTTTCTTGAGCACCTCGGTAAGCCTGTTTGGGCTCAAAGCCTCACATTTCCGTCAAGCTACAAACCTCTGGGCTATTTTCTTATATATTATGGCAGCGGAAAAGCAAAGCAAAGTTTCAACTATGTTAATACATGAAAACACATTAAAAACATTTCCATTTCTCATTATTGTTATTAACTTTGGGATTTACACATTTCTCGTGTTCTGAATGTTGAATCCTGCCTCACTGTGTGGGACTCATTGGAATCATTTTTATGTAAGGTGACATAAACCTGACACCGATGTCAAAGTGGGACAAGTCACATCTGGCTCATACCCAGTACACTGTGTGCCCTGTTCTCATTTACACCAACCTTTACTCACTAGATGATCTGTGTGTTTCTAACATGCTGAATGAACCTTCTTCCGCATACTAACAAATTGTAAAGCTGATTTTAGATGTGCATTGTTTACATCCCTGTTTGGAAGTTTTAAAACCTTCTAAGCATGAGTTCTTAACACTTGTGGTAGCTGATTATTTTGGATTTGGTAGATGTCAGTTAACAACATTTCATACAACTGTACAAATATGAAATATGAATTATTCATCCACACTATATATAGTTAGCGTGATGTCACAGACTGGTTCTTGATTCCAGTTTCAAAGAGTTTGGAAATCAAAAGAACATCTTGAAGAGAGAGATGGATCTGACTGAAAACTCAAGGATGCTACACATGGCCTTCCTGTAGCAACTTGTCAATCAAAAACATGCCCCGTTTTGTTCTTTCTTTTACTCTTACTTACAATATTAACAACATGCGATACTAAAGGAGACTTAAATCTGGTAATTGAGACGACAAATTCTTTAGGAAAATGGTTGCTAAGGTAGCAAATCAAGTGAGAAATAGAGTCATTTTCTCAAAGATTTCTACACAAATGGAGATCTTTTTCCAGCCAGAGGAGTCGCCCCCTGCTGGTCGTTCATCCCTCACTGGCTTCACTTTTCAGCTCTAGAAGTTACATCTATCTTTTATGCTGTATATAGTCTACAGTTAGTACTTAGGTTTCTTCTTTTCAGACCATAGAATTTAGGGGATGGTTCTTTACCTTACATGTTTCGACTGGAACATCAGTCTTCCTCAGAGGCGTCAGCTGATCGCCGTGATTGTCATTTATTTGGTGTTCCTTATGGGCGTGGCCAATCTGACAGATCTGTCAGTTCTGTCAGATTGGCCGGTGCCTGCAGAAGAGAGTCCCAGGTGTGTGATAGCATGAAGGTGCCTTCATCCCGGTTGATCGGCGTCCTTCCCCGTCTTCTGATCTCGATGGCCTCCTTGATGAACCTTTTGTGTTTGTTGCTTTCTGATGTTATGATTCTTGTGCTGTCCCAGTCCATGATGTGGTTCTGTCGTTTGCAGTGGTCTGATATCGCTGATTTGCATTTTTGGTCGGATATATGGAACAGTCCGGGGGATAACAGAACCAATACAACAAGCAATAAGGAAACACAACATAAACACGGCCGCCAAACCCCACATCAAACTACGACAGTTATTAGTTCATCCCAAGGACAAAATAGAAAACGACCAAAAATGCAACGTCATATATGAAATACAGTGCAATCATGCAATTCCACGTACATTGGGATTAGACGGTAGATGTATAGTCTACAGTTTACAGTGATGAAAACAGAAATATTCTAATATCAATAAATGATTGTAAATTTGATCAATAGCAAAAACTTCTGTTTGTCATGGTTAATACCACACTGAAAGGTTAATTAATTGTGAAATGGCTTCAATGAATGACTAGGAGTGAGTCTTGTTTTTTGGGCTTCCACACAAAAAAAAGTAAAGAATCTAACTTTAACCTCATCAGTATTGTACTCACAACAGTCCGACATGCAACTTTTATTGCTGGAAACTTTGAGCTGTCTGAAATATGGGTTATCCATGTAAGTTGTTCTGTAAGTTGTTGAAAACACACAGGACACGGTGCATTGATAACATAAATGATATCTATAAACTTAACTTTTGATATTAAGTCAAACTTTTTTTTTGTTTAGTTTTCTGTAACCATGTCGGTTTAGGTAGTATTTTGTTTTGAAACTTATTTCTGTGTTATGACGACGTTAACATATAGTTTATGCGTAGTATATGAATGTGTGTGTTATAAATTCACATTTTAGGGTGAAAAGAGGCATCTGTTAAGGAAAATACCAAAATATAAAGGTTGGCTTATCATCCATACAAGAACAACAGAGAAGCGACAGGAGTTTTGACAAATCAAATCAAACCTGTGTGGTGTCGTTACCCGACTGTCACAAGATTTCACCGAGACTGACAGCAAATAAAACAATAAAAACAATGCAGACATACAAAGGTTGATATTGGAATATTGCACGCTGAAATGACACAAGATGACAGATGGAAATTCCCCAGGCGCTTCTTCTGGTCTCACGGGATATTGGACAACTATTGTTTTCCTTTCCTCCGAACAGCTAAATGCGTGAAGTTGGGGTGCATTTTTAAGTCTCAAAACAGAGTGTTGGAATGCAAAAAGGCATTATTAATTGACACATGTAGACAGGACACAGTCCCAAGTAGAACCGCTGGATTTGCATTTAACAGCACAGCCTTGTAAGAGAGAGAGAATATGGATTCCTCTTTAACGGCTGTCGTGTGTCGCTTTCAGAATGAATGGACAGAAGCAGTGGACACGGGTGGCTGTAATGGCACTCCTGGTGCTAACGGTGATGGCAGGTGAAGGAGGCAAAGCAGAGAAACAAGGTGAGTCTCACAAACCACCAGCATACTTGTTAGATGACGGGGAAGCAATTTCTGTCTGTTAACATCAACAGTGGTTTGCATACAAGGCTATTACGAAGCAATATCCATCTGAAGAACTGATTTAGCTTGACACAACTCTTAAATATATATATAAAAAAACCAAAAAAACAATTTTGAGTTTAAAGCAATTGGTCTCCTTTGAGAATTTACCAGAAACAAACAGTAATATTTTGCTACAAGGGAAAATAAGTCAGATAAATCCCACTTGGGTAAGGAAAACAAGATTTAACCTAATTTAAATTCAAGGGAAAAAAAGTTCATTTGCATTGGAAATTAGTGTTAGCATCTGAAGCCATTACAGCTGCCGTGAAATAATATGAAAGTCTAAGAGGGGGTAAATGCTTTAGTTGACACTGCAAGTAGCAGTTTCAATTTCTGGTTGCAACAAAAACAAACATGTTTAACTTGTTTTTTTTTTTCCATAACCAAAACTGTAGACGTGAGACACATAAATTAGATGTTCCGAACTGAAATCGACGAAACCTTAAGCTGAGTTGATGCTTTTGCGCAAAACTTGGAAAATCTCAAGTTTTGACAAGTTGAAAGCCAAGATACAATAGAGAGTGTCAGGTTGGTACCTGGTACATGTAAATATTAGGACTTGAAATCCACACTAGAAAACCATGATTAAGAAAACAAATGTTAAAACTATGTCACTTAAATGTTAAGCCTTCAAAAAGCACTCCATCAAATTAGCATCGCATCGTAGGAATGCCATTCAATCCAATGTCGACTCATGAAAGACAATTTTTATTAAGCATCAATATCCATCCTCCTTGTCAAAAGCTGGTGCCTAAATTACCCACAATGCAACACAGGCCCTGTATTCAGAGCATCAGTTGTGTTATGCTGTGAGAAGCTCAGGTAGCTTCGTTGCTTGCCTCAGCAAACACGTCTTTCTATCTCCATACGCCTTACATTTGATGAATTTTCAAACTCGTAGTCGTCAGCCTTCGGTCTTTGTGCACCTCCACCACGAGCCACAAAAGGCTTTCCACAGCTTTATTCTCTACATGTGCAGTATTATCCCTCTAGACCACTGGGGAATGAGTCACATTCACCCTTAACTCAATCTGCGGTGTTAGTCGGCTACACTCCTCGTGTTTAAAGCGTGTGCTTGATCCTACAGGAAAGAAGGAGCGTAAGTCGGACTGCGGGGAGTGGCAGTGGAGCGTGTGCGTAGCCAACGAAGGCGACTGTGGACTCGGCACCAGGGAGGGAACACGCACCGGCAACGACTGCAAGCAGACCATCAAGACCCAACGCTGCAAGATCCCCTGCAACTGGAAGAAGAAGTTTGGAGGTGAGAATAGATGTTCACACTCACTGTGCTGTGTAGAAATGGGGAGATCCTGATGTACTTGACTTGGAATTTACCAGATATTTCTTTCTATGAGTGTTGAAATAGTCTAGGTGTGCTAAAAGACCCAAAGAACTCCCCTCCTTTTGTACAGATGCATGGCTCCCATCTGTCTTGCTCCACACATCCCCATAATCTATTGTGGCCCGTCATTCACACAAACAATGGTTCCATTTTCGGCATACGAATGCGTAAGCTAGCTAATTAGAGGTACAACAAAAAAAAATGTCTGCTGAGAATGTGAGACATTGTAATGGAAAACACAGGAATAATCACCCGCCGTTGTCATTTGCGTTTTGGGCTTGAGACAGCGCAGCCTTTACAGCAGAAATGTCTCGCAGTGACAAGCCTGGGGGACTTTTGTTCCCACAGTAAGGCCTGTCAGGCAGGAGCCTGCTGCTCTGCAATGAGCCTGTCACAAATGATGAACACAGTGCAGGAAATAATGGCCCCACTAAGTGGCAATATAGATTATAGCAGCAAAAAGTTTTGGAACGTTGGCAATAAGTTACATGCCTCTGGCCTTTAAATTACGGAAAGTTGCTTAAGGACAGAGAAGGACAGAAGGAAAAAAAAGCCTGACTATCGCAGATTGTATTGTAGAGGCTGCTGATCCCTGCACAAGAGCGCGGTGGCTTTTTTTATTTGGGATATTTTTGTAATTAAAAATCAAATAAATGCTGAAACATTTGGTGCCTGCGACCCACAAAATGTGTAAGAAAAGGTTTTGGAAGACCCAGTGGCAGCTTTTAGAAGATGTCTGTTTGCCATTAATTAAAAGAAGACTTGTAGCAGACTTCTAGGGTGCGTCCTGGTAGGCAGCGTTCAAGAACAACATAATGTGCTTTTAGGTCCATGCTGTTACAAGAACCCTGAGAATTATGGGGGGTTTTCTTACAGTTCTGAGGTACTGAACATAAAAGATCTGACAACCCATTTGGCGCAAGTGCTATATCTGATTAAACCCCAAAAGAGCTTTAAAAGCAAACTAGTGAAAACTAGGCTCACAGTGGTTTTAAATCTGCAGCACATGGCCCAAATTGTGCTTTGCAGCTTACAAAACTATTACACAGCAATGTGTGGAGTAGAAATGTTGAAATGTGAGGGTGTGCACAATGCTGTCGAGTCAGGGTTACCGGCAGAATAAACCACGAAAACTGAAGCACCTGTGGGTCAGGTGACAAAGGTACCAAACACTGCAGCTAATGGGTCTGAATATAATGAAGCAGAAAAATGGTCATAGAGTGATACAATGGCAGATAGATGATGAATCCACAGACACAAAGCTCAAACAGATAAATGATCCTGAAAGGGGTGAAAGCTGATATCTGATGGAAAATATATGAAAACTGTATGCGCATTACAACTAGTCCAGTCTGGGATATATAATGCACATATACAAGACACTGTGATGCATTTGAAAGCTGCATTAAAACTGAATAAATAGTGATGATGATGGTCATGAACTAACAGCAGTGTAAATAAAATAGAATCTTGGGGTATACAAACATTTCACTTAGAAATATTTGCATTAATCAAGTGACACGTGATTCAACACATGATCCACCCACACACACCCTGTTTCGGTCTTATGGAGGATGATATTCAAACAACCTGTATTTTCAGCTTTCCTCCAAAGGCCTTAAAATGACCCAACAATTAAGTTTCTTCCACTTGTTCCGAGTTGGGGTGAGGTGGCAGCAGGTTATGTATTGCATTCAGACATCCCTCTACCCAGCAATGTTTTCCAGGTCGTCCTTGGAGATCCCAAGGTTTTCCAAGGTCAAAGAGATATACGAGTACTTGGACCAAACTGGGGTGTCCTCCCAGTTGGGCATACCAAGAAAACCTTGAAAGTAGGGCACCCAGGAGGCATCCTAACCGCCTCCGCTGCCTTCTTTCAACGCAGTCACTCTTTTGAGCCCCTCACCCTGTTTCTCAGGCATTAAAACCACCTGCCTAATACTGCGTACGTCTCCCTTGTGGTGCGAGAACAGCTGTAATCCATCGAGGTGTTGACTCTGTAAAGGTGTTCTGTGGTATCACACACCAAGACGTCAGCAGCAGATCCTTTAAGTCCTTCAAGTTGTGAGATAGGGTCTTTGTGGATTGTTTTGGGTTTTCTAGCACAACCCACAGATGCAGACATGAAAGGTCATTTGGCATTACTGGACGGCACACCAACCTTATATGCTACTTGTACGCAATTCCATGTTCCATGTTCAGTCTGTTAAAAGTCCTCCAGATCTCAGAGGTCAAGTCAACGACCTTTAAATATGTCACATTCCTCAAACCATTCTCGAACAATGTTTGCAGTTTGACAGGCCGGCTGCCATCAGAGAATACACAAGTGTACGCGGGTCAGAAACTGTGTTTACAAAGGTGTCAAAGTGACATCCACATGAATGCCAGGACCAAAGGTTTCCTTGCAGAACATTGCCCACAGCAGCACACTGCCTTCTTCTTGTCGTACATCCTGTTGTCATCTGTTCCCAGGTGAACAAGGCACATACACCGTTCAGCGTCCACTACAGCTTACTGTAGGCATTTCAGCAGCAGCATGGCCACTCTAACCGCTCTGCAGCTACACAGCAGGCTGTGATGATCTGTGCGCTCTGACGCTTTTCATTTTTTATTGCCAGCATTAAAGCTTTCAGTAATTTGTGCTACAGTAGGCATTCCGCGGAGTCGGACCACACGGGCCAGTATTCACGCCCCATGAGCCTCGGACACCCATGGTACTAATCACCGGCGCGTCGGGAACATCCCACAAGACCTGCTGTTTTCGAGATGCTCTGACTCAATCGTCCAGCCAACACAATTTGACCCTTGTCAAAGCTGCGTGATTGTTACACTCGCCTATTTTTCATGCTTCCAACACATCAAGAAGTGACTGTTCACTCGCCGCCTAATACATCCCACCCCTCGAGCGCTGCCACTGTAACAAGATAATCAATGTTATTCACTTCACCTGTCAGTGGTTTTAATCTCGTGTCTGATTGGAGTGTTTTTTTTATTTTATTTCTGACGCCAGGCAACTAATCTTGTGATTCTAAATGATCTCTGTGAAAGCAGAAATGTCATCCAGAGATATTGGACGTTGTGAACACACCCACTCATCAGTGACTATTCATTCCACTTTTACAACCATTTTTTTTTTCTTTCTCAAACCTATGTGACACCTCAAAGGAGGACATGCGCTTCCTGACAAACTCCCAACAGACAGCAAGCAGCTTTCTCTCCTAGAGACAAATTATAGGTATGGAGGCAGTGGGCTTTTTTTTTTTTTTTTTAAAGTTGGTTGCTTAGGAAGTCCCTGTAGGATTCTTGCAACAATGGCCCCTGTCACTCCCCTGTCTCTGCTTTCCGTCCCTCCTTTCCTCAACCCCCGTCTCCCACCTCTCCCCTCTTCTGATGAGCACCCTGGGATCTCAGAAGCAGTGACAAGGGGTCGGACGCTTTCATGTGAGAGGAAGCTGACGAATGAGTGTCACAGCCTCGAGGGAGCCCAGCTAGATTGGCAACAAAATAATGGAAGGAGATATGAGGGACATGGACACATAGTACACAAACAAACACTTGCGCGTGCACGTACACATGCCTCTTCAAACCCGCTTCTATCACATGCAGCAGGCAGCGCTAGCGTTTTTTTTCTCGAGCAATCTTGCATCCTTCCGCGGCCGGCTTTAAGGTGGGTTAAATGCAAAAGCACAAATGTGAAACTGTCCTGCTGAAATTTCTTTCACTTCTCAGCTGCTCAGATCGTATCTGTCTGTTATTTCCGAGATGAACAGCAGCCTGGCTGTTTTTGATTACATTCATGTGTTAACGGGTTTCGTCATATAGAAACTGTACCATCCAAACTGTGAAGCAACCATCTGTTCCTGTTTGCAGAAGCCGCTTTTATCTTGTTGTTCAGAGAGGCGTCTCGTGAAGTCACTCTGGATGTTGGACACTTTGTATTGATAAGAGGCCGTAATAGCAAACTACTCATCAAAGGAGCCATTCAAAGTCTATGACTCAGAACTCTCCAGGCTCAGGGGGCTTATTGCAGTCACTGATTGCAATTGACTGCTTTTTCTAACAAAAAAAAAAAAGTGTCATTTTACCAAGTTTTCTGCTTGATCGCTTCTCTTATTCTGAGCTTCTTCACCAAACAAAAGCATCTAATTAAGTGCGTGACGTCTTTCTGTGCTATAGGGGAATGCAAGTATGACTTCCAGGCTTGGGGGGAGTGTGATCTGGCGACGGGCAAGAAGAACAGAACGGGAGTGCTGAAGCGAGCGCTCATGGATGCCACCTGCGCCACCACCGTCACAGCCACCAAGCCTTGCGGGAAAATCCCCAAGACCAAGCTGCAAGGTAAGCTGAGAGGAATAAATCATCGCTAGATTAAGTGTAGCCCTCGCCGGACGTGCAGGGGCTGCACTGAAGTCCGGTTGATGGATCACCGTGTCTTCAGAACTGTGGGATGTGGGTCTCCGCACGCAGGAGAAGGATGTGATACTTGCAGTTTCAGAGTGTGCGTTTAAACGTCTCTAAATCACTCCCGAGTTGCATATTTTGTATTGAACACTTGCAAAGGCCGTGTGTTTACTGACATCGCCTGTTAGCTAATGTTATCCAGGGTGACAGCAGACTGTCCTAGAAACCAGGATATTGCATAATACAGGCTTCTTTTTGTATTTAAATGCACAAAAGACAACTTTAGAGTTCCAGGGAGTCATATTTCTGCACTGTCTTTCCAGTTCCTACAGCAAGCATGCCGGGCCTGTCTGAAATGAAAGCAGAGAGACAAAACTGATATAAACCCTCCATTTAACTGAGACAGCAAACAAGTGGACCCCAGAATTGTTGTAGTAATGGAGCATTACTGGAATTACAGTAATCATATTACTGCCTCAGTGCCCAACACTGCCAGGAAATAAGTAGTTGGTCTGAGGAAATACAACATTTTGCTGAAGTTCAGCACAGCGTGTTTATGGAACTGTTTCTACATTGTGTGGCCTACAGAAGACATATTGAGGGAGTCAAGATACCATCAGGGAACATCTGTACATTAGGATCGACCGATACGGTTTTTCAGGCCTGTTTCCCAACAAACTAAGTTCCTATACAACTAAACTGCATTCTCAGCTGAGCAAAATGTACTTTCTGCTGGATTGTGTTTATTTGGGACTTTTACAAATAAGTTTCCAATCAGCATATCTTATCCATTTATTTTTCTGCTTAGCTGCCGTTCCTTATCAGCCAACCAATTCTATTTTAAATGGGAATCATCAGCCGAAAAAGTGTTGGAGAAGCTCCAAATTTTAAGTGCAAGCGTTGTATGTTAACCATAACTGGGTGATTTTCCCAAACTTGACCGGGTGGTTTTGGTGCCTAAAGTTAACCAAGCTTCACACGAGCAGTTATTGTTGTCAACCAAAGTGAGTTATCTGTCTGAACTTAAATGTATATCGAAATCTAAGTTGTTGTTTTTAACCTGAAAGTTAACAAAACAAAGGAGATGAAACCTGCTACAGAAACACTTGAACTGCTACAGACCTATCTCCATTTTGCCCTGCCTTGCCAAAGTGTTTGGAAAACTTATCAACAAACAGCTTATAGGCCATCTAGAAACCTACAAAGCCTTCAACCCTCTACAGTCTGGCTTTAGATCAGGCCACAGTTGCATCACTACCACGATGAAAGTGGTTAATGACATTATCTGTGCCCTTGACAACAAGGAATGCTGTGCTGCTGTGTTTGTCGATCTATCTAAAGCTTTTGATTCTGTTGACCACCCCATCTTGCTGGAAAGGCTAAGAAATATTGGTCTCTCTGAACCCTGTGTCTCCTGGTTCAGTAGCTACTGTTCTGGGCGCTTACAGTCCATAAGGATGGAGGGTCTTCTCTCGGCCCCAGTACCGCTTCACAAAGGTGTCCCCCAAGGTTCCATACTGGGCCCAACACTATTCAACATTTACATTAACAACATAATCCCTGCTGTAGACAATGCCCACATTCATCTGTATGCCGACGATACCATTGTTTATACATCTAGCCCCTCTCTCAATGATGCACTGTCCAATCTGCAAACTGCATTCAGTAACATCCAACATGCCTTCTCAGACCTTCTGTTATCACTAAACACAAAAAAACCAAAATGTATGATCTTCAATAAAAGCCTTCCGCCGGTTCCGTTTCAAATTTGCCTTCTTTTCTTTGGTTGGTTTTTTATTGGTTTTGTTCATTACTTCCAGTTTTTTGGTTTTTTGGTTGGCCCCTTGCTTTTTTTTTGAACCCACCTTTACTTTTTTGTTCCTTAAGTTCAAAATTGGATTTGTTTTTTTTTTTTTTATTAATCCTCATTCACACAATCCGTTTAACACCTCCTGGTCATAATTACAGTACTTCCGATGTTTGACTATGGTGACATACTTTATCGATCCACATCCAAATCCCTCCTCCATAAACTGGACACTATCTACCACACGGCCATCCGTTTTGTCACTGGTGCCCCCTTCACGACTCACCACTGCACTCTGTACAGACTGGTTAACTGGCCCTCTCTTCACTCCCGCAGGCAAACCCATTGGTATTTGTTCATTTATAAAACTATCATAGGTCAAACTCCGGCATGTCTACGTTCACTACTCATCACCCGTCACATCAGCTGTTCACTTCGCAACAGCAACCTCATCCACCTCCTCGTCCCCAAAGCCCGCACTGTCTTTGGTTGCTATTCATTTCAGTTTTCTGCAGCTCTCGACTGGAACCAGTTACAAAAAACATTTAAACTCAGTGTCTTTAAACCTTTATCTTCTTTTAAAAATATGGTGAAGGAACTATTTTCTGAGTCCTTTACCTGCTTTTAGTGTATTTTATCTTCAAAGCCTTTTATTGATATGTGTTGTTTGTGTACTGTTTTTTTATGGATGTATTGCCTTTATTGTATTTTCTGCTCTGTGTTGCCTCTTGGCCAGGTCGCTATTGTAAATGAGAATTTGTTCTCAATTAACCCACCTGGTTAAATAAAGAAGAAAACAAAACAAAACAAACAAAAAAAAAACCTAAGCCTAAGGAAAATGATTTTAAAAATGAGCGCAAACCTTGATCACCTGGCTGAAAATCCTGCTGACTCATGCCGCCATTGTCCTTTTCGAACATGGTGCAGTTTTACCTTTTGATGAGAATGTACATTTTTTATATCAAAATGAAAATTCACTGTAGGTGTATAAGAAAGGGATTTTTGGGAGATGGTAATGGCATGAGCTCTGAAAGAAACTCAACAGTGATTTTAGCATCAAGGACACCAATGAACAGATATGTGTTTGCAATAAAACTATAAAATCTGTCAGTTTAGAATAACACAATCCAACATCTTTAAAACACGCAACCAATCTATACAGAGTGTTGACCACAGATAGACAGAGGTCCAAAGTAGCACATCTTTAAATTAATTTGATTGGAAATCAGTAAAAATCTGATAAAAGTAGTAACAATTCCTGTAATTGTTCAACCCCTGCTGCACACTCAGTAAAACTTAAATGACATTCATGCAAGACAAACTGAACCTCGTTCATGGACTTTGTTTTGTCAGACAGATCTAGTGAAACACACCCTCATTGAACCCTTCGCTGCAACACTCTCTCCTTTTTTGGGCCACTTTGAAAGCCGGAAAATATTTTATTACTTTCCAGAGAAATAACACGTCATTAGGGTTGCTTTGGATCAAAAGCCAGATCCACGCAGAAACAAGCGGGTGAGTTATGACAAGAATCATTCCAGGACTTTATTTCACTGTCACGTCATTGTAAACAGTTCCAGGGAATGTTAGATCAGTCGGTTTGCTTAATTAATTATAGCTGAAGGGATGTTTACCACTTGGGTGTCTCTGTTTCTTCTGCTGAGCCTCCTCCTGATGAGTTTGTATACTTTGGGCCATTTTGGATTTTCTTTTTTGTTTTTTTAAATCATAACACACAGGTCAAAATCAGTGACGAAAGAACCCGAATGTCATTTTAATTAGCATCTGTATGCGTATCAAAGTGCATAAGAGAAAGGAACGTCTTTGTGATAATGACTGTGTAGGTTCAGGAGATGCTTATCTTCTGTCCCGGTACATCTCCGACTGATTGCATCTTTGCTAAATCCAACAAACCCCAGCAAATGATTTAATCTCAGGCAATGTCAGCTGTGATTCACATTCATATTCAGTCCGGCATCAGCGTGATGGAAATCCTCCTACTTAAGTGCTAAGTTGAAGTGGTGAGTGACAGTATTAAAGCAGGGGTGAAGAGGTTAACTCACTATTCAGCTGTAATTACAAGCTTTTAGCTTTTCTCTGTCATGTCAAAGACACTGAACTCGGGGAGAGTTTGTGCTTCAACTTCTCATATTCGATGGGAAACGGGCAGTTATCGGAAAACAAGATTTGAACTAATGGGAGAATATTAAATAACCACGTGGATGCGTATAGAATATATAAATTCCCGTCTGCTCGGGGAGACGGGTGTAAAACTGGCGATAAGAAGCACTTGATTCCATCCAAATGTCTTTTGTTAATTTGGTAAACAAGGATGTAATTGACCCACTGTGAATGTCCCATTGTCCAAACAGGATTATAATGAGTGCCCAACTGTTGCCAAAAGGTCCATAAACTGAGTCCTTATCGGGCTCGGCAGATGACACATGTGCGCACACAGGGTTTGCACACGGAGTTTGCTTAACCTTTACTGTCGCTTCATCAAACAACCGCAGCCAGGTTAAGCCCTCAAATTACAAAAGATAAGGCGGGCGAGACGCCTTCGGAGACGGCCCCCGGTGCAAGACGTCGGCAGCTGCGGCGCTGTGAGCTGTAACGCATCTGTCCGCTCCGCTGTTTGTCTTGGGACTTTACGCCAAACTCTGTTTGACTTTCAAAGGAGGGATCAGTTAAATTTTTCACTCGGCGGCGCATCATTAATGCATCGTGACAGGAAGTTTCTGGAGGAGCTGCGCTGTACTAACCGCCTGCGACGCTCCCGTGTGTCGCAGCAAATGCGCGCTGCGGGACGCTGCTTTTAAATTACACGGAGATGTATACGGATTTATAGGAGGAAGGTGCGTCTAGTAATGTGACGCTGTTCTTCAAAGGAAGCACAGTTTCAGCGTTGACATGCGATACGTCAAAATGACAAAATCCCTGATGCAGAATGAAAATGATCACTGTTGGTGCAATTAGAAACAACGTCATTTGGTTTTTAATTTGAAAGATGTCACCTAAACGTCCATCCATCCATCCATCCATCCATCCATCCATCCATTCCTTTAATCCATCTATCCATTATCTGCTTTTATTTATGCTATTCAGAGCTTTAGGGGATGGAATCTATCCC